ACGCAGCTCACCTTCTCTGCCCTAGGAGCTTGGGATGGCAGCAGGGGAGCTTCCTTCCAGGTGCTGGGACCGGCTGAGCTTCTCTGCCCTAGGAGTCTGGGATGGAGGCAGGGAACTTCCTTCCAGGTGCTCTTTCATTCTTATTTTTAACCACAGAAATTTCTGTACAATTTTTATCTAGAGGATGATAACTAAATGAGACAATAACCACAATATGTTGCTTTCCCTCATTTTCTCAACTGTACATTGTTTTGCAACCTGTTCTGTTGTTTTTTGGTTTTGTTTGCTTGCTTTAAAATGCTGTAAAGTATTCTACTCAATGTTTTTGAGGTTCTTTAATAAGAGAGCTCAATAAGTAGTACCCATCTTCCCTTCCCATTTAAGAAATAGATGAAGACACAAAATATTACCTTTTTCCTAATTATTCCTAAGATAAAATTGGAAGGCGTAACTTACAATGAGAGACAAAGTAAGCCTGGAGATTCCTTTGGACGTCTGTTGAGACTTGAATCCCACCTCAGGGACAGCTTCCTGTTGTGGAGTAGATAGCTCCTCTCTGGTCCAGAGCAATCCTGGCTAAAGCGATGAAGAAAAGGCAACATTCACAAGCAGAGAGACACTAATCACCTTTGCCCAATTCCTGCAACCCACCAACCACTGTGAAGCCTCTTCCCTCTCTGGGGAGGAGAGAGAGGTGGGGCAGAAACCTAGAGGGTTATGTAAAACCCCATAAAACCAAAGGAAGGTGCATTCCCCTGTGACCTATGAAAGTCCTATTACTCTCAACTATTCCTCTGTTGTACATTTGTTTCCAACAACAATGAATGTAACATCTTTGTGATTAATCTTTGTGTAAATTTATGGTTATTTCCTTAATGTAAATTCCTCAGAGTAGAGTCCTGAACCAAAATATATTAACACATTTAAAGCTTTTTGATGAATTTTGCCACATTTCCTTCTAGAAAGCAGCAATTTACATTACCACTAGCAGGAGAGAACATTTCCCTAACACACACCAACTCAGATTTAGTCTTTTTGATCTTTGTGAACTTGATGAGCAAACATCTGTATCTCAGTTTCATTTTAATTTTGACCAGTCCTAATGGAGATGTTTTTCTAGAGGTCAACAGGATGGAACATGAATGATTTTTTGGTTTGTTTGTTTTGCAGTACGGGTACTGAAGATTGAACCTAGGACCTCTGCACCAAGCAGAGACAGTGCTTGGCCCATGGAGGGCAATGAAGAAATTGGAACCATCTGGAATCGTCTTTAAATCTCCAGAGGAGAGAGATCTGAGGGCAGCCTCCTTTCCATCTGTTTGTCTGTTTTATCAGACTGCATAGGGAAGAGAGTGGCCGACAGGGATTTGGGCATTACCAGGACTTCTGACCAGAATACCACCTAGTATGTCTCTGGGCCCCAGGCTTCTATACCTGGGAGTCCACCTGGCAGCCCATGGTTGTGTCCCTCCCACCTGGGACAGGATCCATCAGCCAGGTGTGCCCCCTCACCTGTGGGATTCTTTGCCAACTTCTCTCTAGGAGGTGCTGGGCTCAGAGTTGTAAAATCCCTTTTGTTTCCTTCTGGATCTTAGTGAGGGCCAGAAGGTAGGAAACTGTGCCTAGAACTGTCCTTTCTGAAGACCAGTAGCATCCTAAAGGGAGATGGAATATCAAAGTAGCTAAGTGGAGGGCCATCCTCTGAACAGCATAGAGAGACAGAGAGGTGGCCAAAGTTGCTCCCTGGGCCAAGGACTTATTGAATAGTCAGGTGTCCTTTGAGGCCACCTGAGCAGTGCACTCCATCAGCAACCCAGATGTGTGTGTGTGTGTGTGTGTGTGTGTGTGTATGCGTGTGTGTTTGTATGTGAAAAGGACTGGCCACAGACAAGATCTCCATAAATACTACAGATCAGATTTTCACCTCTCTCACGGTAGGAAATTCCTGCTACGAACAGCATTAAAAGTTTATTTACTTACACATGTAATTGTTTACATAGTTAATAATTTGGTTTAAAAAATTCAGCTCCTGGCACAAGTGCATGTTTAAAACATTTGAACCCCACAACTGCAAATAAACCACCCATTGCACAGTGGGTCTTTCAGGCCCCTTGGTGTGCAGCTGAGGCTGGGCAGAAACCGTTCCAACACCAACACAGCCTGAGTTCTGGCCCAGGATGATGCAGCCTCTTGCTTTCCACACATGTTTATGGGGAGCTGGGCACTAGGCAAGTCCCCATGTGGAGGGCATTGGCTCCACTGCCGCTGCTGTCCCAGAGACGCGGAGATCAGAGTGAGCCATTTCCAGGCAGGAGCCGGGGGCAGGTGGCCCTTTCTCCAGGGCCGTTAGTGTGTGTCCTGCACAGCCCCATCCCGACTTGACCTTTTGGCCAGGACTGAATTGCAGTGCCGTCCAGTGCAGTGCATTGCTCCCTATGCCCCTCCTCAGCAGGGCTGCCCAGGCACACTTACCACCTGTCTCCCATTCCTCCTTCACTGTGCTTTCCCTCCTGCCCCGCAGATGGATCTTTTTAGTCCCTAAGGTCTGGGCTCTAGGGCCATCTGCTCAGGGTGGTCTTTCCACCCACACTAGCCACCCAGGGTCTCACCAGGACTCCCAGTGACTGCACCCCCTCCCCAGCCTCGTTTACTCCCTTCAGAGCCCTGGGCATTGGCCAGAGTCTGAAATGAGCACGTTGCTTCTCGGAATACTTGTTTACTGCCTTGTTACCCTGAGACAGCAGAGCCCTCCTCTGTCTGCATCACCCTCAGATCCTGCCTTTAGAGAAGAACCTGACTCACTGTGATTATCCAAAGCTGTTTATTAGCAGAGGACTAATCTCCATTATGTCTCACCCTGACTGGGATGAGCATTGCTTCATCAACAGCGTGTGCAGAGCCTGTGAGCGGTTTAACTGGGTGGACAGCATAGCAAGGAGGGGTGTCTGTGGGGCACCTAATTTTTACACAAAATTTGCTGTCTGTACATTTTCCCAGGCTGAGTCCAAAGTGGGCTTCTTATTCCCAAAGGGCTCTGGGAGCCTGCCTCCACAAATGAAGGACACTCTGATGGAGTCCGGTGGTCCCAGAAATCTGGGCCTACAGTGCGGTGGGGGTAATGGAAGGAAAGCAGAGGGCAACCTTGGTGTTTCTGGGAATTCTCAGCATCAGTGTCTCCGACAGCGTGAGATTCCTGGGAGTTTCACCAGGGACCCTCACCGTGTGTGCGTGTGTGCGTGTGTGTGTGCGTGCGTGTGTGTGTGTGTGTAGGGAAGAGGCTGGTAGCTGTGGGAAACAGACAACACTGAGGTTTCACTTAAAATTCACTTAGGAAACACCTTTCACTGCTTTGGAGAGAGGAAGAGGAAGGATGAAAACTCTTCATACAACTACACACACTGACCACAATGTGGTAAAAGCTCCGTAAGCCCATTGGAATTTGAAATGTCTGAATTTGAAAATGTATCTCATATACCTCCTCTACCAAACACCCTAACTTAACCTAGCGTCCCTTAAATGTGCTCAGGACATGAGTTGGTCAGAGTCAGGTAACACAAAGCCTGTTTTGTTATAAAGTGTTAAATATCTCCATGTAATTCATTGAGTGTCTGTATCCCCAAGTGCTGAGAACACAGCACACTGTCAAGTGCCATTTGTCTCCTCTTGTGATCATGAGGCTGCCTGGGAACTGCGGTTCCCATCTCTCCTCAGCATCTCCAGAGCCAAGCACACCGCTTATCCTCTACTAACAGGAAATGATCCAAATTCAAAATTTCAAATAGTTTCTCCTGAATGCATACAATTTGTGTCATTGTGAAGTTGAACTATCTTAATCAAACCATAGAAGTTGCGGAGTATCTGTACTTAAACCTCAGCTCAATTTATTTGGAGAGAAATTAAAGAAGACTGTTTTCCTGAATATTTATTTTATCTCAGCTATTCCAGAGGCTGGAGAAGCAGAGCCTGAGTTTGTTCTTGTGGTGCAGAAGCCTCAGTCTGCTCTGAGAGTGCAGGGAGACCTTAGAGATAAGCTTACTTCAGACCCTGGAAAGCAGCCTTCAGTGAACCACAAGTACCAGGTTCTAGGGCATCTCTGCCCCATGCCAGCTCAGGATGGAGTGGGGCTGAAAGATCCAGGAGAAGGAAGGAGCAAGGACAAGCCACCAAAGCATCTGCCCACAGTGCAACTCCAGGCATTGGCTGCCATGGGTAAGGAGCCACCTGCCACCTGTAGGTGACGAGGCGATGTGTTCCCCCAGTTGTGGTTCACTACAAGTCTTTGCTGCCATTCCTGGCAGGTCACACCACTCCATAAGACCAGCTGACATCGTCTCTGAGGGAATGAGTAACCCATGAGGCCATAGAGAGAAAGGTGCAGGAAGAGGCTTCATGCCACAGAAAGCAAAAGTGGAGAAGAACTGCTATGAGCAACCGGAGAGCAGGATTGTAATTTATACCTGTACAATTGTGTTGGACCTCTGGACAGCCAATGAGCCCTCACTGGTGGTTTCCATCTCTAGACGGGCATAGTAGGTGCAGCAGCTCTGTGACCTGCTGGGCTCTTCTGTGTGGGTCCGTTACTGCTCCCCTCCCACCTGCCCACTGTGGACAGCCCAGGGCAGGGGCTGGTGTTGAAAAGGGGGCCAGTGAGGGTCCTGGCTCCCCCAGTTCCTCTGTTTGCTGCAGTCCTTAATAGTGGGCATCGTCCCACAGGAATCCCAAATCAGACCGGGCCCTTTGACTGGCGTTCTCAAACTAAACTGAGGCAAGATTTGGAATTTCAGAAAGTGTGATCAAAGTAACACTTGAATGATATGAAAGGTTATTGAAAATAATTTTCCTTATGTATTACATGTGCTATGGTCTTAAATCATATTTTATTTCCCCCAAACTAACCTCTTGCTTCTAAACGAGCAAAGGCCCCTATTTAAAGAAAGCTGACTTTGTACTGTTATATCCTTAAATCACACCATCTATATCACAAAAGTTATTTTGACTCAGCATTTGATGCTGAAATTTACAATGGTGGGCCAGTCCTAATCAGTCTGAAGCAGAAGCAGAACATTGTGTGTGCATGCACACACACACGCACGCACACACACACACACAGCTTCACAAGCACGTTTTCAGTTATAAGATGTTCCTTCTAAGAAAACTAGAGTTGTGTCAAGAGAATTTGGAAGGAACTCTTTTTTGCCAAAGTGACAACACTCTGATTTGAATTATTACTTAATTTTTTAGAAAGGAGATTTTTGGGATTCGTAAAACTCAAAGCATTCCACATGCAAACTGGTGAATGCCCAATCCGAGTTTAAAGGGCTCTTATGAACACAATCAGTGCTTCAGAAGCAAATTTATGTTCTAAGGGTGAGGCTTAGTGGGACAGTACATGCTTAGCATGCACCGACTCCTAGGTTCAATTCCCTGCACCAAAAAGGAAAGAAAAGAAGATATATTAACTGTATGGATAACTACAGGCCCTGGGGTGGGAATATTATATATATATATATACATATACTCTCTCAAAAAGTTTTGGGGTGAAATGAAATACAATATTAATCACCTTAATCAGAATTTTTAAAAAATGAAATTGCCAAACATTCCTTACCTGAAGATGAATGTTGTGTTAATTAAAAACCAAGAGGCTAGTGGCCTGAGGCTGTGTCCTTACCTTGAGTTCCTATGAGAGGAAGTGCAACCTAACAATACACACAGAAGCCCAATTTAACTCAGGAGTATAAGATTCTAACAGATACCTAAGTCTCAGCCATCTATAAGCCAAGGAGCGTCAGCCAATCACAGTGTACTTTGGGACTGGGCAATGCCCAAATGAGGCAAATGCCTACCTGTGACTAATCCAGATTGTCTATGCTCTACCTCGAGGCTCACTTTGCAGAATGGAGCCTCTGAACCTCTTCTGGTTCAGAATGCTGCCTGCTTCATAAATCATTCTTTGCCCAAGTAAATGCTGTTAAACTTAATTTGTTTAAAGATTGGACAAATTTCCTATGGGATAGGAAAGAGATGAGCAGTAAGAAGAAACAGCCATCTGTGATCCACGTATTTACAAGCAGAGACTCTTTGGGGAAAGGCATGTGCTATCAGTGGTGGGGTACAGGGTGGCTGCAGGCCTCCATGGGAAGCACTGCCCTCCATGGGCCAGGTCCTACAGGGAAGGATACGGCCTGTGATTGGGAAACTGCTGTACTCCCAGCACTGAGAGAGGCTGAGGCAGGGAGATCACAAGTTTGAATCCTGTCTTGGCCAGTTAGTGAGACCCTGTCTCAAAACTAAAAAATAGGCTGGGATGTAGCTCAGTGCTAGAGTACTAGCAAACAGGAAAGAAAAGATGAAATTGCTGTATATGTACATTTTCAGTATGTTCCCAAGTTTGTTACCTGGATAGAAGTTTCAAAAGTTGATCTATAAAGTTTAAAATCCCACATCAGTTCAACATCACACTCCTGAATACCTGTATCCATCCAAAAACATAGGAAGGGGAGTGAAGTCAGTGGTCCAAGCTGCAGGAGATGGACTTTCACTGAGCTCATAAAAAAGACCTTCTCTACTCCACTGCAAATGACATAAGATGTGGAGCAGAGGCTTGGGGAAGTTGATTTAGGTCCTAGGGGAATCTGAAGGCAGCTAACGAGGTAGAAGGGACAAGGAAGACTTCTGCTGCCACCAATGCTGCGGAGGTGTCCAGACCAGACAGCACCTGTTGCTGAGAGATGGGAGAGAGGCTTGGACATTCCAGAGAGGGTGGCTGACAAAGGGTCCCATAGAAGCCCAAGGCAGACAGAAAAAGGAGGCGACTCCAGGGTCTGAGGTGGTAAGGGGGACTGGGGAAGACAAAATCCCAGAGAACCAAGGAGGCTATGAAGTCACATAGTCAAAATCAGACTCAGAATTTCCTGAAAAATATCATATATTCTAGCAGCCCTGAGTGTGGCAGCACTATTGCAAGCCGAAATGTCTGTGCCATGGCCTGTGTCTAGATGTCCCCTCCCAAAGCCTCATACAGTCATAGGCAGGGTTTTTCGGAGGTGGCTTGATCTAGGGTGTGTGATGGTAGGATTAAGTGTGTAATGCTGAGATTAAGAGTGTGTGATTACTAAGTTAGTCCACTGATTGGTTTGGCATAGTTCTGGGTGTGGATAATGACAAGGCCCACCTTGTGTATAGATGGCACCATGCACAGGGAAGGTAGCCTGGAAGGGATAAAAGGGAGAGCCAAACTGCTGCGGCTACTGCTGCTTTGCTACTTCAAAGCTCGCTGCCTTCTGCCTGCCATGGACTATTTCTCCTCTGTGATGCCCTCTGCCATACCATCCTGTCTTGGAGCCACCCAACTATGAACTGAAACCTCTACAAACTGTGAGCTAAATAAAGCTTTCTCCTTTAACTTTGGGCCTCAGGTTTTTTGTCTCAACAATGAGAAAAGTAACCAAAGCAGTCTGTAAAGTTTTATTCAAGATCCATGCTAAACCCTGTTATTGTGTAGTTTTTCCTGGATCTGTCTAATTTTGTCACATTTTATCATTTTTAAAGTGACTTGAGTTTCTAGGTAATTCTTTAAAAAATAAAATAAAAGCCCTTGCTGGCTTGTCTGTGACAAGGGAAGTGATCGTAACAGTGGGAGGTCTGTGGTGGGGGAGGTCCTCTGCCCTCTTTAGCCAAGCACCATGGTGGGTACTAGACTTTTCTGGACATCATGAAGGGCTTAACGAGAGGGGGGTAGTAGAGAGCACCACAGAGGCTGGGCGTAGGGACCCTGAATGAAGCGGCATCAAATCCCAGTTCATCACCACCTCCACGGCCCCACCCGACAGCCTTCCTTTCAGACATCTCTCTCTGTCCCGGGCTTCACTCTTGAGGCTCCAGCCACGTCCAGTCTTAGGACCTTTCCTTGCTTGTTCTTCTGCCTGAGAGACTCTCCCTACATATATCCCTGTGACCATCTCTTCTCAAGAGGGAGGAAACTCAAAGCCCAGCAGCTTCTGTGCTCCCAGATCCACCATCATCACGCAGACACTCCCAGACGAACGGCAGGAACGTGTCCTAGTAAACGCATCATATATTGAAAATAGCATAAGTGGAAATAATATTGCCGAAATGACAGAATATCGTAGTTCAGTCTTGCCTACCTTAAACCTTCTGAGAGCATTTTCATTGAGAAAAACCACTGAACACAAAGCCTATTGCATAATACAGTGGTTTATTGAACGCTGTTCTGGACATGAAAACAGAATGGCTGTATGGGAACACTCTGCACCATCATCAGTGGGACCCCTGAGAGGCAGCCGCGGGAGACTGGAAACTGACTGTACACACATTGTTACCCACTTCCCTGTGCCCACGTAGCCTCAGTCTCCTTCATGGCACTCATGGCCACCAGGAATTGTCCACTTTGTCTGTATGTGTCAAGATACATTATGTGATAATGTCTGTCTCACCTAAGCAGAGCCCTTGGTGACAAAGCCCCATTGGACTCATCACTGCAGCCCCAGCATACAATGGCATCAGGGATGTCAGCCCTCAGGAAAACACTGCTGACTGATGACTGGCATCTTCCCTGAACAGAGAGGTCGCATGCAGTCAGACAGTATGTGAAAGCATCTGTGAGTCTTCTGGACTCGTGGAGTGGGGGTCAGGCCTGTGTGGAAAGGAGCCCCAGGGCCCTGCACTGAGTGAGGGCAGAGAGGGAGGGAGGTCATGGGGAGATGGTTATCAAAGGCCTGTGATGTGCAGTGTTGCAATTCTTGAAAGCGCACAGCAAACCACTCTTTCAAGTGGCATCTGGCTCGCCTCGCAGCCTGTCACTGGGTGGTTAGTGGGAATGTGTGGGCAGAGGGAATGCTGCTGTTGGGGTCGAGTGTCAGATTTCCTGACCTCTGAGCACTTCTTTAACTCTTCACA